TAATCTATACAATGATTTCTCTTTACCAGATAATCTATACAATGATTTCTCTTTACCAGATAATCTATACAATGATTTCTCTTTACCAGATAATCTATACAATGATTTCTCTTTACCAGATAATCTATACAATGATTTCTCTTTACCAGATAATCTATACAATGATTTCTCTTTACCAGATAATCTATACAATGATTTCTCTTTACCAGATAATCTATACAATGATTTCTCTTTACCAGATAATCTATACAATGATTTCTCTTTACCAGATAATCTATACAATGATTTCTTTTTACCAGATAATCTATACAATGATTTCTCTTTACCAGATAATCTATACAATGATTTCTCTTTACCAGATAATCTATACAATGATTTCTCTTTACCAGATAATCTATACAATGATTTCTCTTTACCAGATAATCTATACAATGATTTCTCTTTACCAGATAATCTATACAATGATTTCTCTTTACCAGATAATCTATACAATGATTTCTCTTTACCAGATAATCTATACAATGATTTCTCTTTACCAGATAATCTATACAATGATTTCTCTTTACCAGATAATCTATACAATGATTTCTCTTTATCAGATAATCTATACAATGATTTCTCTTTACCAGATAATCTATACAATGATTTCTCTTTACCAGATAATCTATACAATGATTTCTCTTTACCAGATAATCTATACAATGATTTCTCTTTACCAGATAATCTATACAATGATTTCTCTTTACCAGATAATCTATACAATGATTTCTCTTTACCAGATAATCTATACAATGATTTCTCTTTACCAGATAATCTATACAATGATTTCTCTTTACCAGATAATCTATACAATGATTTCTCTTTACCAGATAATCTATACAATGTTTTTTTTTTACTAGATAATCTATACAATGATTTCTCTTTACCAGATAATCTATACAATGATTTCTCTTTACCAGATAATCTATACAATGATTTCTGTTTACCAGATAATCTATACAATGATTTCTCTTTACCAGATAATCTATACAATGATTTCTCTTTACCAGATAATCTATACAATGATTTCTCTTTACCAGATAATCTATACAATGATTTCTCTTTGCCAGATAATCTATACAATGATTTCTCTTTACCAGATAATCTATACAATGATTTCTTTTTACTAGATAATCTATACAATGATTTCTCTTTACCAGATAATCTATACAATGATTTCTCTTTACCAGATAATCTATACAATGATTTCTCTTTACCAGATAATCTATACAATGATTTCTCTTTACCAGATAATCTATACAATGATTTCTCTTTACCAGATAATCTATACAATGATTTCTCTTTACCAGATAATCTATACAATGATTTCTCTTTACCAGATAATCTATACAATGATTTCTCTTTACCAGATAATCTATACAATGATTTCTCTTTACCAGATAATCTATACAATGATTTCTCTTTACCAGATAATCTATACAATGATTTCTCTTTACCAGATAATCTATACAATGATTTCTCTTTACCAGATAATCTATACAATGATTTCTCTTTACCAGATAATCTATACAATGATTTCTCTTTACCAGATAATCTATACAATGATTTCTCTTTACCAGATAATCTATACAATGATTTCTCTTTACCAGATAATCTATACAATGATTTCTCTTTACCAGATAATCTATACAATGATTTCTCTTTACCAGATAATCTATACGAGCTGGACTGCTAACTCGTAACGAGTTCGAATCCGGGTTCAAGTCAGTAGACCGTCCCTGAGTCCACCCAACTCTGATGGGTACCTAACTCACGTTAGGGAAAGTAAAGCCGGCTGGGCATAGTGCTGACCACACTTGCTCTTCATATGCTGAGGTCACAGAAACAAGTGAACTCTGCTTCACTTGCCCCATAGACCGTCAGGTTTGAAAAGGGAAATTTACTTTACTTTTTTAGATAATCTATACAATGATTTTTCTTTCCCCAAAAAACTGGATCACATTTTTTAAACTAAAAAGAGCCCCAACTAATCTCGTTGGTAAAGGGAAATCGCTATGAATCGATTAAAAATGAATATTAAATTGTAGGCCCGTGTTACTTCCCATTTTACAAAATTTAATAACCAAGGGAAACAACCATTAACCATGTTCACAAAATCAATTAAACCCCAGAGATATCAAATAGTAAAAGAAAAAGAAAACGACAGAATTATTACACCTAACACGAAATTGTATATTCTTATCATGTATTTAGTCAAATTTTTAACAGGTGGTACGTTGTTAAACTCGATAGATTCAAAATTAAAATAGATAACAATGAGCTATATCAACAACATAATTTTTAATAACACAGAAATTACATATCATTTATTAGATATGTCTGAACTGTTGAGGGTTATTTAGATGTATACTTTTAACTGTGCCCCCCCCCCCCTCCCGGAGAAAAAAAATCTGGAAGAAACACTGCCTGACCCATAGAGCTACCATATGATAAGACTCAGAGGCGTCGAGAGGCGGGGGTTGGGGGTTTGGCCCGCAGCGGTGACTCCATTTACTATAATTTTTTCTGTAGCCTACCATGTGATAAGACTCCTTCATGTGTAGGTCTACTATGTGATGAGAATCTCACACGTAGGCTAAAATGTGATAAGATATGTAGGCCTACCATGTGATAAGACTCTCATCTGTAAGCCTACCATGTGATAAGACATCTGTAGGCCTACCATGTGATAAGACATCTGTAGGGCTACCATGTGATAAGACATCTGTAGGGCTACCATGTGATAAGACTCTCATCTGTAGTTATCAGCTCACCTTATGCACATAATAATTTTCCCGTCAGTTTTGACTAACACTACGAAACAAGTCAAGCATTATTTTGGTGTTTAATTTATTGTACATAACATAACAATCAAACAAGGATAAAACAACTGCGATGGAAATAGAAGCTTCATTCACCGGTAATGAAACAACAAAAGATGATCACATGAATAGAAAAATTGAGCAAAAACATTTGATACCTGCATGTCAACATGGCAAGTAACAAAGACAAATTCATTTAAGACATGCTTGCAAATCATACAGGACATTTTCAAACATTCATTAATTACAAAAATTACACTAAGAATCCTGGTTATGTTTTAATCTACTACCTGTTCTGTTACAACAGCTTATCTTAAAATACACGTTTCGTACCTATATACATATGTATGTGTGTGTGTATATATATATATATATATATATATATATATATATATATATATATATATATATATATATATATTAAAAATATATCTATATAAAAACATACCAAATTACATACAACATAGAAATTAATTATTCTCTCCACATACAACAGACATCTCGTCCATGATTTTATCAATCACTTCATGAAATTGCATAATGAAAGTATTGATGAAGGTCTATATCTTAGTAATAAATAAACACAAGAGAGAGAATAAAACTGATGGAATGTACTGGCCAGGGAGATAATCCAGGCCAAAAAAAAACAACTTCAGTCTATGTACAGTCATGGTTTGACTCAACAAACAATATCTCAATCCGGACAAAACTAAATCTATGTACAGGCATGATTTAATCTTAAAATCTGAACAAAGCAAGTCTATCTAATTCATGGGCTACTCTAAAAATGTATCTAAATTCGGACAAAACTTTATTCTATATGGGGCCTACAGTCATGAGCTATTTCTATAACTTGAAAAAACTTTATAAAATAATGATCTAAAATACTTTATAACATATTTTTATAACTTGAAAAAATTTATATACAGTCATGATTTACTCTGTAATCTATTTCTATTATTAAACTTGACAAAAATTTTTATATACAGTCATAATCTACTCTGTAATCTATTTCTATAACTTGACAAAATTTTTTATATACAGTCATAATCTACTCTGTAATCTATTTCTATAACTTGACAAAATTTTTTATATACAGTCATAATCTACTCTGTAATCTATTTCTATAACTTGACAAAAAAATGTATATAGTCATAATCTACTCTGTAATCTATTTCTATAACTTGACAGAACTTTATACAAAATTGAATATGATTCAAGGTAAGTCTACATTTTTAGAAGAATCTTTACTTACTTATGTGAAAGGGTAGATATGTAACCTTAGTACATCAGAAACATAAGAAGAAAGTGTAGGAAAATGTCTATATAAAACGCTTCTTAACTAATAATAGATATCAAATATACAATTTGTATGATGCATTAAATAAATCAACATTTCTCAAGAAGGATTTTTCAACAGCACTCATTAAAAAAATTAATTACAACGTACAAGAAATTAATGGAATTCTCATAAATAAAAACATCATCAAAGATGATTTGCAAAATAAAAAAAATAAAATTGGTATTTCATCATGTGATAGTATTATTAGTAAAATAAATTAAAATATATGAAAGTTTCTCGACAATTAATTTCTGCTGTTTGATAGGTTTGAAAAATGAAAATCTGTTAATTAACTTTAAAAGTTATAAAAGCCTTCATTCCTTGATAAAGCTCTGTTTATTAACATTAGGGCTGACAGTAAAGCTACCCTTTTGAACCTGGCAGTCCATGGGGCACATAAGATAGAGTTCACCCATTCCCTTGACATGAGCATACAACAGGACAATGGTACAGATAAATGAAAATAAAACAATATTTACAATTGTTTCCAACAATTTGATTTAAATTAATTTGATTTCACTCAAAGCAGCCATTGACTAGATCTGTAAAATATAATTGTCTTCAGTAACCAAAACAAGCCATCATCTGTTAAGGTAATTTAGTTTTTATACATAAACATAAACACAAATATTTCAAAACATATTAACAGTTGTGAATAAGCAAACAATCTGTACAACAGTATGTTAATTACATATTGCAAATCAACAAAATTTCTTTAATTACCAGCTCAAATTTTGGCTAACTTGAGTTATTATTGACAGTTTAATGAACATATGATTTACATCTCCTTTTTGGATAAAACTATTTTTAGTATCATTTTTACAAGTCAGTGAATTATATCATTATTATAAACTTTTTTACAATGCAGTCAAATTAGCAAACAAAAAGAGCCTAGCTTAGAAATAAACTAATTAATAGAAACTTATGATAAATTTATTCAAGTATGGTATTTTTGGAAAATAAAACAACATGCGTCGTTAGCATCTAATCAGGCTGTACTTTGTTGTGAGTACTAAAATATAGCCTTTGATTTTTTATCAAAACTAGTTGAAATTGTAAAATACAAGATTCAGCTTGTAAATACAATTATAATTTTGTCACTTTTCATTTTAAATTGCATTGATGTAATATCAGTAAAAGATACACTAGCTATGTTTGATACTGACTGAATTTAGTTTGAAAATTTAACAAAATACTTCAATGAAAGACAAAACATATTTTATAATTAACTTAAACAACTTTACATAAGAAATCCATGAAAACTACAGGATTCCAGATTGCATGTTGTTTTGCTATTTGAGTTAAACAAACAAACAAAATAAATAATATTTTATTTTCTTGGAATCAAATAGAAAAACCTCTTTTTTCTCTAAAAGATGCCTCAATCATTCATCGCTATTTAAAAAGTCAAACTGGAAACTGTTTAAGCTTTTTGGAATGGGAAAGGGACTTGGAATGGATGCGTCATCAGACTGCAAAGGCTGGTCCAAGTCAGTTAGGCCCAAGTCAGCCTCAGCGCTTGTTTCTTCAAAAGACAAAAAGCTTCTTACGGAGTCCCCCAGGGCAACAGCATCAAAGCTTGTTCCTACCACGGTCAGAGTGGCCATCTGTGAGTCCCCATGATCAGACTGTGCTGGCATCAAAGTTGAAAGGTTTGATTCAGTCGACTCCTGAAACCTATCAAAGTTTTTAAACTGCTGATTGTGTATAAATTTTGAAATGTTTGGTTCGGTAGTTTCATCAAACCCATAAAAGTTATTGGTTGAATCATCCGGCGACGCTTCGTCGGATGTTCGTCTGAAGTGGCTCTGTGAGTCACTGAGTGACTCCTCACTTGAGCTTTCACTATAAGCAATGATGGATGACCTATGGTGTGGCTTAAAACTACTTTGCTGGTTATCGTCAAAGGACACGGAGCGACGATGACTCCCCCGCAATGAATTTTCTAACGAGTCTGGACCCAGTCTGGCGCTATCTGAGAAAAGTGAGTTGATTCTCTCAGTACTTCTGCTGCCCTTCAGGCTGCTCTTTAATATGATGCTACCACTGAAGGCTTGGTAACCTGTATTGGATGAGGAAAAGTCAGCATATGTTTCCTGACTGAGGGGTTTTGTGTCATCTTCACAGCTTGGGTAAGTTATCAAAGGTGGTCTTCTGCATACACCATTAGCTACTGGTTCATTGGTTATATGTGTTGGTCTTCTGCATGCACCATTAGCTACTGGTTCATTAGTTATATGTGCTGATCTTTTACTTGAGCCATTAGCTATGTTGTCCATAACTGATTTGTTAGATTTAGTACTAACGGCAAGTTCTTCATGTATTTTCTCAAAATGTTTTTGACCGGCATACTGAGGTTGTATGTTCTGGTTTTGTAGACCGGAGCGTCTGGCTGGCATTGATGCTCCAATTCTAGAAGTCAGGGACTCTCTATTTGTGGGGCCTGGCTTCCGTTTCATGGTCGGACTATGCCAGGACTCTGAAACTTTATCATCCTCGTGGAAGAAGGAGTTCCGTTGCTTTTCAATTGAAGGCACCAGGCAAGGCAAGCTCTCAGCTGGCATAAGCCTACCATGAAAAGCCTCAGCAAAATGGTCAGGATGACTGGTATTTCTGCTGCTTCTCGGCATGGTTCTGGCTAAGGGGGTCGCCAAGGTCAAACACTCTGTTCTACTAAACAGCTTGGGAACATCCAGGTTGTCATTGTCAGAGTTGTTGCTTCTGATTCTGGGTACGGTTAGGGTTATTTCCTGCAAGCTAAAACGCCTTAGTTTGCTGGGGGTTGCTTTGGAGGGAGCGGAACCATTTGGTAAAGACACACTCTTTAACACAACATTGGTACCTTCTTCCACAGGAGTTACACCCAGAGTCTGACTTACTTCTGTCGTACTATTTCTCCTCTCATTGCGTTTCCTAAAAAAATCAAAAACTGATCTTTTCTGGGATTTCCCCTTTTTCCCAGGCAGCGTCAGGTTGGCGTGTATTTCAGGAGCACTTTGACGCCTGCCCCTGTTGGCAGTGGGAGGGGGCGTGGTGTCCTGGGCAGACCCATCATCCAAGGAAGCTGAAGTGGGCATTGTGGTTGTGCTCTGTCGTCTGCGCTGATCGTTTTTTCTAGGAGGTCTTTGAGGAGCTGACTGGTCAGTTCTGGGATTTTGCCTTTTGTAATCTTTAAAACATCATACAGGTCAGTAACCAACACATGGCTTTATATGTTGTGGTTAAGTTAACTTAGTGCAATGAGAAATCTTTACTTGTACATACAATTTTAAAATTTATAAAAACCGCTAGAAAAGATATTTTTTAAATCCAAAAATAAAACATACACCAGACTGACACTGTACACTTTAATTAACAGACGCAATGGTCTTACTGAAGTTTTAACTAAATGAATAGGATAAAAACTGACTAACCGTTTCTGTGAATTGGGGCAAATCTTCCTCCCCTGGGCAGGAGGGTCAGTGCTGGGTCCATATTTATTTGACTCAAGCAACTGTAAACAAAAACAACAGCATAAATTAAATTCAACTCAAGAGAACAATTGAGTATTTACATTTAAATATTAAAGTTTTTGTCTTTGTACAAGACTGTGTAATTTAATTTCAAAATTTTAATTGAAATTTAATATAAAATACAATAGGCCCAGAAGACCTTACACTCAATAGGCCCAGGAACTGAACTAGACTGCTAACCACTGGCCATTAAAGAATAATATTGAGGAAAATATTTATTAATTTACCTCCTGATGGATGGGATAGACATGCAGATAGTTCCTCTCTCCAACAAAATTGTATTTCGCAAAACATTGCAGACAGGCTCAGAAGGTTGTAAATCGTAGATGAGGGTATCACTCAACATATTCTTGGGGTGGCACTTGGCTATGTAATCCTTCAAAATCCACGACTTCTGCTCCTTAAATGGTGGGAACAATGGATAAAGTAGTTCCCACAGCAGCAGGCCAAAAGCGTAGATGTCGTCTGTTTGTTCGTACACGTTCCCTGACAGGACGTTAGGAGACAGGTAGATGCAGGAGCCAGTCTTGACCAAACTCGTGTCCCTGGGGAACCTGGCCTCACGCGGCTTGCACATCTGGCACAGCTTGACTGTCCCAGTTGACCTTTCCACCTGGAAGGTCATTTTAACACATAAGTAATCATGACGTAAATTAACAAGATAATTTGGATAAAGTGGTTTAAATATCTGGGTAGGCCTAGTGTTTGTCATAAGTCATGAGCAGCCCACCCATGCTTGATAAGTTCATTACATGTCATGGTGATGGATAAACTCTAATTCATTTAAACAGATGACAGATTACATGTTGTTTACTTGCTATGAAAAATGCTAGGACTCTTTAGCCTCATCATTAGCCTATATTTAGATCTCACTAATTCTGTCTTTTTGATTATCAGATCACTTCATCGTTTAATTTAGTTCTTAAGTTTAGTTTCAGTAGATTTTATTTTTAAATTTTTTTACTATAAAAATCATGGAACAAATCCAGGATATGAAACAAAACATGGGGCTTACCATGACAGTATCAAGATTCAGCTCCATATGAACCAGCTTTTCATTGTGAATGTATTCCAAAGCTGACAACAAGGAATGTACGAAGTCTGGTATGAACGCGTTCAGTCTGATGATCTTACTGGTAGTATAGACTCGTGCTGATATCAAGTCACCATTGAAGATAAAGGCTGAAATCTTTTGCGTGAACTGGTCAGAAATACTTTGAGGTTTTGCTTTCCCGAAAGTTGCGCCTCCTTGCTCGCATGTTTTAATGCGAGTCATTCCGAAAAATTGGGCAATGTTTGGCGCATCTAAACACCTGTTGAAGAATTTTTAAATAATTGAAAACTTTGAAATTTTGCAAAATTATTAAATAGGTTTCTAGTCCTTGAAACCTTTAGGAATTTAAATTTTAGTAAAACAGATTATTTTACACATTTGTGATCTGAAATTTTTAACACACAAAATGCTGAACAGTAAAAAAAAATTAAAATTAGGCCTATTTATAAGAAGACACCCACAACTCGATTTTATAATTATCAGCCAAAAACATTTTATATGAAGATTCATATTAGCAGTTTCAAAATTACTTTAGTTTCAAGCAAAGAAGATGTCAACTAAAAATACTTCATCTAAGTAGATATGACAGGTACAGGTTGGTGTGTTGAGAGAGGGATTTCATTGAATTGGGCCAGATAAAAATAGTAAGTTGCCCACAATTCTAAATTCAAGTTCCCATCTGAGCTTTACAATGTCACTAACCAAATCAATTACCTGAGAGATGCAATCTCAGAGAAAAACATGCGGTCATCCATGTCGTAGGTGTAAGTCTTGATGAGAACTCTCTTTTTTTCATTATCTGCTGTGATTGTGGCCAGTTGCATTCTTCCCCATAAACCTGAAGGGAAGAAAAAAAAATTACTTTACTCAAACAAGCAGGCCCTATTTACAGTTTAATTAAAATATTTAAGAAATAAAAAAATATTAGAATTGTAAATAAAATAACTTCTTTCAACAATGTATCTATTACAGTAAAATCATATAGCTTTGATAGGGTTAGTGAAAAACTTTGCTCAAACCTACAAAAAAATAAACCCATTTAAGAAAATTTATTTTAAGCCAAGTGTCTACAAACACCCAAGAATAGTAAACTTATTTGTCTGACCAACAAACCTTCCATTTATTTTAAGATCTAAATACAATTTTAAAAATCATTTTTTGTTGCTTCCTAAATGTGTTTAGAATTTCCTAAACTTTGTAATGCAAAAATGAGAACAAAAATGTTTCTACTCTAAACAAACTTTAATCTGATATATTTCAGATTTATTTTCAATTGTGTGAAAATAACTTTTTTAGGCAGTTCATTAAAAACTTTAAAAAAAATAAAAAAATAAAAGTAAAGTGTGTTTACAGGCTAATAAAATACTATGGTAATATGCAATTAGTAATAATGTTAATATTATCTACTTAAATCCACACACCAGAAATTATATATCAGTGAGTTGTAAGTAAAGTTGATTATAAAATTATAATAAATGTTAAGAAAATGGTTATAGTGTCTTGCAACTATTAATAACACAATATTAAAGAGAGTGCTTATTTTCTTTAGTAACTTTATCTAGAGAGAGTTATGTAAACAAACAGAAATACGGCAGACAATAAGAAAATAACTACTTGAGTAATACAAGTATTAATACTATAAAATCAATTTGTTTTCTCAGCAGTAAGATGCAGCAATACATAGAGGTGGTGAAAGAGAAAAAGTAGTTATAAAGAGAGAATGTTTACATATTAGTTGATTAGATATTGACAGGTAGAAAAGTTTATTATAAAATTACATTTTTAAAATTTTTAATGAGAGCTGATTGCAAATCAAAGATATACCAGTGCGGCTATTAAGCTACATCTGTTTTTTGCATGTTAAAAAGATTCACATGGTGTTAATTTTGAATTATAAAGTTGTTTAGTAATATATTTGTGAATTTTAAAACTACTTACATCTAGCAACTCCTTTAAGTTACCAAAAAATAAAGAGAAACAATTGCTTAGTTTAAATTAAATAAAAATTATTACTTTCCTTTTAAAACAACTGTATGCTTACGTAGATTCTAAAATAAAGGAAAGATTTACTAACAATTTTCCGTATAGTATATAAAAAGTAAAGATCTAGGGAAGCATTAATTAAGCCAAGCTTACTTCGAACTTTACGATGTTTACTGCCACTACCCTGGAAGCCGGAGTCGTCATTTGGTTTGACAGAGACTGAGATGTCAGACGGGAAGTGAACGGAATGAGTGTCGCTGAAGTCCACAGCATCAGCATTGATGTCTTCCATGTACAGTGATCCAAAGCCTGCCAAAGAGTGTAACATTATTTTAAAGGCTACCATATTTCAAAATTATTCAAAGCGCAAACAAATATTAATAAAGAAATGTCCGGTCAGTCAATCAGGCAGACTAAATTAAGCAGATGTGCAGTATTGTAATAACAAACGTGGCAGCTACTTATTGGAGAAGGTTTTGCTCAAGTACACCATTAGTCATAGTTCAGTCTTAGTAGTTTTTATGTTGAGGTGAATATCCACTCCCTACAGTTTTTTACTGTAAAATATAACTACTGCTCTTACACCAATTTAGTTAGATTTAAAAGCACTTCATCTAGTTTTATTATTTACATTATTTATTCCTGCAATTGTTAAAACAAAACCATGAAAATTAATAATTCAAACAATAAACCTACCTTTAATAAGATCTCTACTTGGCTCAAGTTCTTCCATGACATTCTTCAGCATTTCCTTGTCTTTCTGGAATGTTTCCCTGTGTTCTCTGATCTCTTCCATCAATGTTTTGTTCACCTCAATAAATTTTGGAATGCTGCTGGTTCCATGCTTGACACATTCTGGAAAGTTTTAAAGAAGAATTTATTATAAATTTAAACATTTTGGTATGTTGTTTTAAAAATTTTTGAACTGCGGGCTACATATAAGTTATATTTATTTATTAGTAGGAAGATTTTAAAAAGAATAACAAGAAATAATTGAAAAAGTAAAATGCAAACAAAACTTACTCTGCATCCACTCAGTGTACCCATCAGATAATTGTTTTATCATTTCCGGATCCTGGCGCATCTTAGTTGCCCATTTTCTAATTCTTTCATCAACATATCTTTTAGGCTCAATTCTCCCATGGAATTTTATTTTATTCTTTATCATACCTTAAAATAAACAAATCATGTAAATATTTACTTGATATTCATAACTTACAAATTCAAACCTAATTACTTTGCATATTAGATTAAGAAAGATATCAATTTATTTCTCCAATAAAATAGTACCCAACATCTATGTATCTATATTTATTATAAGTAGGTTTTAGAGTTAATTTATTGTCTGTTGTTGAAAGATGCAAAAAAACATAATTTATAACTTTTATAATTATATAGGAGAGAGCCATGTAGGTTGATCAGTAAAGGGTTAACGTGTCAGTAGCAAGATATATCGATCTTGTTTTACTTACTGAGGAGATTTTGACGCACTGCTTGTTTTCCATCAAGAGAGCTCTTGTGTCTGACACCACTTTGTTTTCTTTTTGTCAACATAGACTTGATCTAAAAATACATTTATTTTATTACTTAGCCTATATGGGTTTTGCCAAAAACATGCAACATTAAGACATTAGTTAAACCATTAGGATTAATAATATAATTAATGAATGCTTGAATTATAATAAAATGAAGAGATAAGAATTTCAGCTTAATTTTTCAAATAATCTTTTAAAAAATATTCTACAAGGGATAGTTTTTAAAGGTAAAATAATTAGTAGGTTAATTCCCTTTTTTCTTTGATATGCGAGATAATAGTTTTCTTTTAAACCTACTTTCTGTTCCATTTTTGCTGGATCAACTGAAATTTCATTAAACTCTGAAACAGAAGAGTTATCTGAAGATATTGAAGCCAGGGAAATCATTGATGCACTCAGATCATGATGTTCCATATAAGAATTCCTGCTTCTTGACAGTGAAGTCTGACGGTTCCCATTCACCAACTCATCTTTAATTTGTTTTATCTGACTTTTAAACAGGCCAAGGTGGTCTTGAATCTAAACAGTTGCAATTAAAATAAGTATTTAATTTAATCAAACAACAGTATTTTTTAGAATTAAATATATTTCTGATGTAGATTTCTAATTATTACTTATATTTCTAATTTTGAACATTATATCAAATAGCTTTGATTGAAATGTTTTATGGTGACTTGTTAACTTACAGCTCTTAGAAGGTCCGTCTCAGCAGACGCCACTCTTCCACTTTCATTTATAACTCTGTCTACATACTTCAGCAAGTTGCGCACAACCATTTCATCTAGATTCTTTCTATTTTGCCTACAGTTAAGATAAAAATACTTTGCATTAAAACCAATGTACCAGTATAAACGTAAAATAGTTTAAAAACTTCTTTAGAATATAATTCATTTTAATGAAAGAGCAACATATCTTATGAATCCAGCTAAAATTAAAGTATGAAGCTGTAGTAATTTAAGATATGTTTTGAAAATTCTTACGCAGATGTTAGGTATTCCACTTGCTGAGCTTCATTAATCAGTTCAGCATAACCATCAACTTTAGTGACATCATCAAATTCTAAAATGTGGCCTATATGCTTGTTGATTCTGGTAATTTCATCTTCAAGAAATTCCTAAAAGATAAAAATAAATGATTGATTAACAGATGTGTAAATTCGAATCGTGTGGGGTGTTTTTTTCACATCTTTCCTTGAATCAGTAAGTACGCCTGGTAAATGGCACTCATTTATGAAAAAATTGTAATTACATCCTTTTTGAATACACAACAAAAAATTGACTAATTAAATCAGCTGTATATATTAAATATTTTTTAGAAACCATTTTGCTATCTAGAAACCGGAAAGTCATTTTTATTCTATGGTATAAAACAAGACAACTTACATGTAGATGGACAGATTTCTCTTTTGATGCAACCATCAGCCTCTCCTGTTTCAGTGCAACATTCTGGAAATAGCTTTCCAGTTCCTCATTGCTATGTATGCAGTGAGTGATCATGGCCTTGAGGTTTTTAGATGCAGGTTGTAGGATGTATTTTAGCCAGCTGCCAGGAGATATACAACATTAGCCTTAATTTCAGTTTTATATACAACCTTAGTTTAGTTTTAACACAGTACAACTGGAAATAAAGTTATACATTTTAAAGTAATTCCATTATTTAAATAACACTACATTTTGCACAATTTTGAATAGTGTTAAATGCAGCAATGTTTAATCAAATTTCAATAATCAGCCATTTAATGCATCTAGTTTAAGTTAATTTGTATTGGCTGTCTACGTACAGATATTGGTACTTGATTGCATTTTGCCCGGCTCTGTTAAAAAGACCTTTCAACCCCTTGAGAAGTTCATAGTAACTGTCTGTTATATATTCTGGATCTGTGTTAAAATTTTAAATGAATATTTCATTAATGTTAGCAATCATGAAAAAAATCTTCAAAACATATAATGAATATTTAAATTTTGATACAGATTCTAGATCTAAATTCTAGATGTGTGTTGTACGAATATTGAGAAGCGTGTTATGAAAAGCCAATTTTAGATTTGACTAAGAAATAATTAAAACTTACCAACTGGCAAATGCTTCAAAGTGCTTTTAGTTGAGAAGAAATAAGTCTGTGATGGATCAAAACCTGGCCAAACATCCTCCAGTTTTTGGAGGGCGTGGCGTTTAACTTTCTCTTTTTGATCATCGTCAATGTTGTCCCAACGGTGGCATACAAACATGGCCGCCTTTGGGTCAAAATATTCTCTCATTTTATCTGTCTGGTACCTTTCTTTAATTGCCCTCAGAAAACTTAGAAGCTGGAAAAATAAAAGCATGTATGTAATGTTTATATTATTGTTTTGAGTTTATATTTAGCTCAATGTAACAAGCCCGCCGGTTGGTTGAGGCCACGCTTGGGGCTCGTCCTGCTAGGGATTCAAAATATTAAATATAATAAATAATTAGGGTCGACTCGAAATATTGTCCGCCTAATTAATTATCTACAATGAGCTACAGCAATAATTAGATACGTACTCTGTCATCCTGGACACCTCCAGCATTGTCGGACTTGATTATGTAAATAAATGCCGAGGCGTGAGTGGATTTGACATATGACATCGTGATGTCATCCATATGTTCATCCTCGCCTATTCCTGGTGTATCAACCAAGGTGACGCCACTCTGAAGTATAAACATTAAAAACTTGAAATAATTTCTTCTTTAATTTTTATGTAACAATCTTTGACAAATAAACTTATTTTAATTTTAAAACACATTAAAGTTAAAGTTATTCGGTTGTCTTTTCTAAATTAAGAGTTTTAATTATAAGCAAACTTAAAAGCTGTAAGAAATATAGATCTATGAGAATACGTTCAGCGCGAGCTTAACTAACCTTGAGAATTTCAGCGGGCATGCGCAGAGTGACCTCCTTGATGACCGACCCGAGAGTTCGCTCCGTCACTCCCTCAACAACCGCTTTGCTCTTCAGTAGTCTTTGAGCATCTTCGAGTGTATAGCAAGTGTATTTTTCAACTTGGCCTTTGTAGTCCAGGGTTTCAACACTGTTACCATTAGAGAACCAGGTTAGTAAATTAAAAACAGTGTAGACTTATTTAAGATGTTTATTTGGATCTACACACATTGATTTATAAAATTACTATCTTTCAATAGGTTACGCGTGAATTAATAAAGACGAAATGAATAATTATAACTTAATCAAAAAATTATTTGCTAGTTTTTAAACAATTTCCAACTTTTCCCTTCATTCATGCTCGACCATGTCACAATTTTCAAGTGATAAAACACATGCGGGTTGTTGTTTTTTTTTTCGTGAAATTTTAAAATGGCTCTAAGATTATTATTTTTTTCTGGATGGATAACATAACCATCACGATAATAAGATACGTTTTTTCTTGATGTATCATGTTATATATTATAAGATAAGTTTTCCTTAATGTATCAAATAAAATGCAAGATAATAAGATCAACTGTGTCTATATTTCTGTAAATCACCTCACCTGTATGATTCAGCATACACAATCTTACAGATGGAATACGTGCAGTGAAGAACATCTGTGGGGAGGATATCGACCCCCAACAGAAGGTTCAGGAAGCTACTTTTCCCACCGTTTGTCTCACCTGAAAAAAACCAACAGATGCGTGTACGGGCAGTCTTTGTGATGGACAAGTGCTCAAAAACAAACTAAAATAATTTAATTGTTAAAATTAAGACGTAAAACTACACTTTGAACAAAAATTAACAATCGTTTCAGACACTAGATCTACATATTTTCGGACAAATGTTGTATTTAAATATCCGCAGTGTTTCTTCCAGACATTTTTCTCCAGGGGGGGGGTGGTTGGTCTACATTTTCCAGAGGGGCGGACACTAGTAAAAGTATATGTTTACAATATAAAATTAAACTCGTTCGGGTTAATTTAAGTTACGTCAATCGTGATTGTTAGCTAACGAAAAATAATATTTAGGTAGTTTCCCTTTTATCTCTTGTAATAAGAAAGAAAATGGCAATTTCTATCCATTCCTTTTATTTTGGGTGTTGACCTACCACCGATGACTTTTTCTATGGATGAAGGTGGAGAAAGTTGGCAGTGGCGTTACAAGGTAGGGTGTCACCCGGGGCAGACCACACCCAGTGTTTCTTCCAGACTTTTTTTCTCCGGGGGGGGGGGGGGGGGGACGGTCAACATTTTCCGGGGGGGGGGGGGCGGGCACTGGTAAAAGTATATATTTTCTATGTAAATTCCATTTAGTTCGGGGGGGGGGGGTAGACTTTCTTGTCCCCCCCCCCCCCCCCCCCCGAAGAGATGCCTGCAAGAAACTCTGACCACACCTCCGCCCAACCATTTGACGCTAATGGAAACTGGGGAAATCTCAAGTTAACAGCTTGAGATGACGGGGACATTACCTGCGACAATGACGAGACTGTTCCTCTCCCGTAAGAGCGCGGCTCTGGTGGTCAGCTCATCCGTGAGCAGGGGCTGGGTCAGGTGACCCTCCTTCTGCAGGATCTCAGACAAAGACTCTGTGGGGATCTTGGAGAAAATGGCCTTGACCGAGCAGAAGAGGTCGCGGAGGGCGTCGACTTTGGTCTTGGTCTCGCTGTGCACTGCGGTGAAGAAATGCTGTAGAAGGAAGTAGAGGATGTTAGCTACAGCAGGCGTGTTCTACAGGGGTAGGCAAAGAGGGAGGTATATTTTATTTAACAGTGTTACCTCATGCATGTTCTAATAGGGTACACAAAAATGGAGGTTTATTTGAAACAGTGGGGTTCTATTGATACGAGCGAATTGTGATCCGGGACCGCGTGCGGATCTTTGAATAAATAATTTGCTTTTTTTTCTCGTTAAGTTTAGAAATATTCTATAGAAATGATTAACGAAATGCAGATGTACAATTTTGTTTTAACTACATAGAATGCCATATTAATATAAATTTCATTGGAGCTGCTAAAATATTTTTTTAGTTTTTATGATACTCCTGAAATAATTTATAGTGTAGTGTAAACAGATTACAACGTAATTTTTTTTTTAAGGTGCCAATGGTGATTCTTGCTGCACTATAATGATTAAAGGAAAACAAACTTCCCTTTTCGATCCTGACGGTCCACGAGGCAAGAGAAGTAGAGTTCACCTGTTTCTACGACCTCGACATATGAAGGGATTGTGCGCCCTGCCGCCTTTACCTTCCCTAACGTGTATTAGCTACCCACCATATCTAGGTGTAATTGACATTCTACTGACTTGAACCTGGTTTCGAACTCGAGACACGAGGGCTAGCGGTCTAGTTCTACCGCTAGGCCACGCCGTTGCACTAGAATGATCTACGAATAAAACATTGACTGCTAGATAGATTGTAACAGCCAGTACAACTGTGAGACTTACATCACATTCCTTCTTGTAGCTACATCCCATCTGCTTCCTCTTGAGGAGGATCAGCCGCTGGCGGATGTCGTCGATCTCGCTGAGGTTCGAATCCTCTCGGATTTCCGCGAAGTTGCCCGACCACTCGACCAGCTGAAACATGTCAGCCTTCTGAATGTTCTCAATAGATGGCAGCTCCATTCCTTCTTGTTCTAGTGGAGTCGTAGACCTGCAGACACAGGTTCATTGGATGGTTAGGTGGACCTTTAAACATAAGTTTATTGGATGGTTAGGTGGACCTTTAAACATAAGTTTATTTGGTGGTTAGGTGGACCTTTAAACATAAGTTTATTGGATGGTTAGGTGGACCTTTAAACATAAGTTTATTGGATGGTTAGGTGGACCTTTAAACATAAGTTTATTGGATGGTTAGGTGGACCTTTAAACATAAGTTTATTGGATGGTTAGGTGGACCTTTAAACATAAGTTTATTTGGTGGTTAGGTGGACCTTTAAACATAAGTTTATTGGATGGTTAGGTGGACCTTTAAACATAAGTTTATTGGATGGTTAGGTGGACCTTTAAACATAAGTTTATTGGATGGTTAGGTGGACCTTTAAACATAAGTTTATTGGATGGTTAGGTGGACCTTTAAACATAAGTTTATTGGATGGTTAGGTGGACCTTTAAACATAAGTTTATTTGGTGGTTAGGTGGACCTTTAAACATAAGTTTATTTGGATGGTTAGGTGGACCTTTAAATATAAGTTTATTGGGTGGTTAGGTGGACCTTTAAATATAAGTTTATTGGATGGTTACGTGGACCTTTAAACATAAGTTTATTGGGTGGTTAGGTGGACCTTTAAATATAAGTTTATTGGATGGTTAGGTGGACCTTTAAAGAAGTTTATTTGATGGTTAGGTGGACCTTGAAACATGTTTATATGGTGGTTAGGTGGACCTTTAACATAAGTTTATTTGGTGGTTAGGTGGACCTTTAAAGAAGTTTATGGGATGATTAGGTGGAATTTAAAGAAGTTTATATGATGGTTAGGTGAACCTTTAAATATAAGTTTATTGGATGGTTAGGTGGACCTTTAGATATAAGTTTATTGGATTTTTAGGTGGATCTTTAAACATCTTAATGGGGTGGTTAGGTGGACCTTTAAACATGTTTATAGGATGGTTAGGTGGAGCTTTAAACATGTTTATTGGTTGGTAAGGTTGATGGTAGAGAGGGCTAACACTTTTTACTGTAAACGTAAACTACAGAAACACAGCCTGAATATTTATTATTATTAAAAACAGAGCGCCCCCCCCCATATATATACAAACACACACATACAGACACTGACTCAAAACTGAATCCATCTATAATGTCTGACAAAGAAATACTTTTACTTAAAAGACATTGTGTCCACTTCATTCTTCAATATATTATTATCTAGTTTATAATAATAAATATTCTGTCCACTCCATAATAAAATCTAGTTTATAGAAATAAATATTTTGTCCACTTTTATACATGAAGTCGATCCAATTATTTTCTAGTCGGATGTTGTCCGAATTTTCATTTGATTTACCAGACGTTAGGAGAGTGGAGAAGAAAAAGGGAGCTAACAAAACAAGTTTTAAAAAGTACATAATAAGAGCTGTTGAAGTTTAGACTTATTTAAATTTTACTACCGTGTTTACTATGGGAATACATTGTACAGTTTTTATGTGACTGATATAAAATTTAAACTAGCCCTGAACGTCTGCTATCTCTAGGAATGGGCCTCTACGGCTGAGAATTTTTTAAAATGTTGCACACATATTTGGCAAGAATGGTTAAGTTAAAAAGTAGATTAGATTAAAGACAATTATTTTTTTTTAAATCGTAGCTTGTAAGGCAGGAATGTATTGTGTTTATTGTTGTTGTTGTTGTTGTTGTTATTGTTTTTCTTTTGTTCTGCTAGAGATTACGGCAGAAGCCGTTATTGTTCTCTTTTAAAATGTGCACAGCGGGAAAATCCAGTAGAGTTATTATGGTTTTAAATCCTACGGTATGAGTAACAATAGAAATTGCAGTTGAATGTTCGATCGTGGGAAATAACAAAATTGGCCCAGCCATTGAATTAATTTATCGTCTTGCTTACTGCCGTTTAGGCATAAATAAAAGCTTCGTGATTTATGGGGGGAAATTGCAAGAAGAATAAATTTTAAAAGAAGGGGGACTGTAAGGCCACTGGGTGGGTCTACATATAATCTACAAGTTATAAAAATAATCAAGTCTCGGAACTTTATGAAGCAGTATAGTACCCTTTTAACATTGATATCTAAATCTAACTTTATATGATCATTTATTTTTAATTTAAAAATTTAAAAAAATTTACCGGAAAAATATTAAATGTTCTAATTATTAAAACCTTTAAAATTCAATTGTATGTAAACAAATTATTAAATTTAAATACGTTGCAATAATTACATTAAAATCAACTCACCGGTCATTGATTAAAAATGGATTGAGAATAAAAGTAAATCCTTCGCTGTTCGATATACTGTTATCTTGAACATGTATCTAACATGTCAAAACTAAACACATAAGTCCTAATATAATCACAGTGTAAGTCCCTAAACAGGCGCCGGTATCCTACTTGCTCTTGAATAAAATCTAGAGTTAGCTGCGTCTGATCGATGGTGTTATCCCCCCCTGAAATGTCTACCTTGTGTGTCCGAGCAAGGAACGTCGAGCTTAATAAAAAGATTCACGAATCCTGGAGGTAATGTTGTGTTACCTGTGGGTGACCTCATGCTTGTTACACCTGAACGCTTCACGGCGACAAATCGGGGAGGGGTGGGGGCATACAGTTTTACAACAGTCGGTGGGGAAAAAAGGGGGTGGGTGTCGTTGCTTACGATGTAGTTAGATAAGGATATTATTAGTAGGAGAGATATAAATAGCCGAGGTTCGGTATATTACGGAACTGATTAGCCGTGCGTTGATTGGCTGGCGGGTGGTAGGTCATGGAAAGACAGACTTCCTGGTGGTGAAGGAATGAAAGACCTCGTTGTTGGCGGGTTAATTAATGAACTGTATCATTTTATAATTAGCTTCTTAGAGGGCTGTCGTTGTAGTGAGTTGCGGTAATATTGTAGTACGTGAATTGTTTCACATATTCAATTCAAATAAAAATGTTATGTCTTTTTGAAATCACATTTTGATAGGAAAGGAGCACTTTAATAAAATATACCCAGTTATTTGATGTTGTTATATATGTTTTCTTGTATAATTTCATTAATGTCAAAGTCATTGAAACAAGTGTTATTTTTTCTGTTTCTTGTTTTTTTTTTAAACGTAATTATTGAAAGATTTCCTCCTCAACAATTGAGGAGTACGTGCCTGCATGCTATGCACCGTATAGGGCTTGGCTCCGATTTTAGCCTGAGCCTGCTTTTCTTTCTAGGTTTGCTTCCTTAGTCTGCTCATTCAAGAAAAATCGATATATATATATATATATATATATATATATATATATATATATATATATATATATATATATATATATATATATATATATATATATATATATACATATATATATATATATATATATATATATATATATATATATATATATATATATATATATATACATATATATATATATATATATATATATATATATATATATATATATATATATATATATATATATATATATATATGTATATATGAGATTTTTTTGTCAAATTTGATAATCAAATGTATTTCCAGCTACCATGTTTTAAGAGACGTACACTTTGTAGAGTTAAAATTTCAGTTTTGGGTTACACACCCGGTGTTCCGAGAAGATCAAATGTTTGTGTGTGTTTGTCGGGTGGGGGGGGGGTTGAGGGTAATTATCACAGCATGACCTATGTATGGCGTGTGATCATGAACAGCTAAGTAATTCATAAGCCACGATCATGCAGTACAGGCATGTTGCAACTTGCTAAAAAAATCACCAGAATACAGTGGCGTTTTATGGGGGGGGGGGTGTTATGAGGGGGGGGGGATGGGTTAGCATTGAAATCGAGTTTTACAACTACACTATGCTTGGGTTATCGGAATTATTTCTCTTTTATAACAGATAAGATAGATGCCCAGTTACATATTAAGAGCGACGGCATCTGATAACTCATCGACTACTGAAACCGCAGCGGCCATGTCTGTATTGAATGTTTTAACAGGAAACGTCGGCGTATAGGCGGTTCGTGAGTCTAGTTTAATCTTCTATCTCAGCCCCCGGGGGGGGGGGGGATAAAGAGAAGGATGAGAGTTTTCAGTTAAGTAGTGTAAGGAGGTAGTCGGCGGGGCGACGACGTTCAGTGGGAGGGTGGGGTACGGGCGGGACTTTTTTTCCCCGCGGCCTGATGGTTCCAGAATGTTGTGTGAATCAAGTGGGAAGGGGGGGGGGGCTGGAGGCGGGGACGACAAACACGCCGCTCGCCACTCGAACCTTCTAGAAAAATCTTGAGCGAATCAAGGATCCGAGCACTTGTATCTGTCATCTCTATCCTGGCCTTTCAGTAGTCCCGAGAGAATACAAACAGCCTCATTTAACCCCGATAATTGCCTTGTTGATACACTTGCCACAAGTGCTTATGGAGATGTATTTCAACAGTTTTTTTCCCACATTTTAGGCGTAATCGAAAGTTTGAAAAGGATTTCCTAGAAATTCAATATTCAATGCAAGTCGTAGTGAATGAAAAAATTTAGCTTGGAATTTCAGCTTTAGGTTAAAAATAGATTTCTTGACTTTTAAACAATGACGAGACTAGAATAGTCGTTTACAGACCGGATTAGGGTTATTGTTAGGTTTGGGTTTTTTAAAATTCTTTTATTTAAAAATGTGGGAATGACACATCGACAAGCATCGGTAGTTTTTACCTGATGTAATTACCTGGTTTAATAAAGAAGTAGGTGCATTTCTTAAAGTTAAGTAAGTTTTCAGGAAGATAGATTTAGTCGAGTTCATCTGTTTCTGCCACTTCGACATTGTCATCATCTTTTCCCTTTTGTGCCTAAGACACATGGATCCACCACAGATAGCTCCCCCCCCCCCCCACGTTTGTAAGTCTCCGGCAATTTTCCTGGCAGTCCCCCATTCTTCTTCTTCTTCTTCTTCTTCGTTCTTAATTTTTAGTGTTGAAGGTAACGAGCCTTATCTGCCATAGGGTTTGAACTCGAGACTTTTTTCGAATTTA